CACACCCCCCCTCCCCCCCCCCCCCCATGGTATCCCCCCCCCCCGCCCCCCCCCCTCTCTGGTTTCGTTGTTGTGGCGGGCTGTGCACCCCCGCCCAGCTAAGGCTTTGGTTGGCCTTGTTCGCAGTTGTGCCTGCTGCCGGTGGGGGGGGTTGGCCCGGGACCCGAGAGCATACATACATGCATGCATGCATACATACATACATACGTACATGCATACATACACACACATACATACATACGTACGTACATATGTACGTACATACATACATACGTACTCATACATACATACTCATACATACATATGTGCAGCCCACAGAACACGATCCGCCATGTAACATCACAAGACGGACATGGCTTGCGGCTCAGGACTTAGCACTATGCCAAACACGGTTTCGGGTTTAGGGTTTAGGGTTCTGACTTTGATGACTCGCAGTCTCGCTTTCGGCTCGGCGTCCATGCTCGAAGCGTTCAGCCGGAAAGCCCTAAAGCCTAAACCCTAAACTTCTACGCTCCAAACCCCAAACCTGTAAACCCCAAAACCACTCCTCTACACCCTAAACCCAAAACTTCTAAACTTTCTAAACCCTAACAATTAAGTCCGAAGCCCGAAGACTTTCTACTCCTAGGGCACGCACGCTTCTGCAACCGCCTGCGGGAGAATCGTTTCCTCGTCAGCCTGTGGGGCTTCAAAACGAGGGCTGAATGACACTGAAGCGGGCTTTGCGCATTGCTTGTCCAGTCTAGTGTTTGAAGCGGAAAACCTTCGAAAACGCAAGTGCGTGAAGGTGGTTTGAGCTGCAAATGAAGCCGATGCGGAAACCCAGCCTGGGTGGGTGCTGCCTTCGCTTTCGCTTGCCTTTGCCAGGAAGAGCAGTGAAGATTGACCCAGGCTTCCCCAAACTGATCCCTCGGCCTCATGAGACGGACAGGAGAGCCCCGATCCTTCGTGCCATCTCCTGCGAAGACTGCTGGACTTGCAGAGAGCGGTGCTGGCTTCTCGCATCTGAAGCTTGACGGTGCAGCGGTGCAGGTGGATGCCTGCGCCCTTTGCAGCAGCTTTCTCCATCGCCTGGACACACGCATGAAAGTATGTGTGAGAGAGAGAGAGAGAGAGAGAGAGAGAGAGTGAGTGAGTGTAAGCGTAAGCGTAAGTGCAAGTGTAAGCGCAAGTGTAAGTGCAAGTGCAAGTGTATGTGTATGTGTATGT